TTGATTATCACATGATTGTTGCCTCATCTCATGCATCTTAAGTTTAATTATCACTTTTGCTAGAAACCTTTGCAGCAAGAGGGGCAAAATAATATCTTTAACAATACATAATTATCACATGCAAAGTATGCAATAAACCATCTGCTTCATCTCATGCATCTTAAGTACATATATACTTACTTTTAATCTCTCCAATGGAACTCATAATTATTTCTGTTTTCAGTTTTGGAATTTGTCAAATTTTTTCTTTATGGTCACAATATATTAAACATAAAGGTTAATTGCAAATAGACCCCCAGCCGTATTGTTGTTTCGAACTTAGTACCCCTGTAGTTTTATTGTTACATATAGACCCCTGGATTATTGTTATTATTATTGACTATTTTAAAAATTTACAACAAAACCTAAAATTACAACAAATAAATTTTAAAAAAATCACTTACAGAGAGGTTTCTACGAGTTGAGCGGAGGCGGTGCCGCGGAGAGCTCCAGCGAGAGATCGGGGGTTCGGGGTTTCGGGGCCTCGGCGCACGGGCGGTGGAGTCGGAGAGGAGGAGCGGGAGGTGATAGAGATCGCGATCTAGGGCGGCCGCGAGGGGTGATGGCGAGGGCGGCGGGCGGTGAAGTCGAGTAGGGTTAGGCCGGTGGCGAGTCAGAGCGGCCAGAAGGGAGTCGAGGGCGGCGGCGCGAGTATAAATTAGGGCTTTTTAATTTGGGAACGAGAGGCTGATCGGTTAAAATTTATATCAAACATTGCTGACGGGCTACCCGTCAACGATGTTTATTTCCCGTCGGCAATGATATCGCCGACGAGTATAACTCAATTGTGACGGCAACTTTGCTGACGGGAAACATCACTCACAGGAAACTCCCGTCAGCGTTGTTGCCATCAGCGATACATGATTTTCCACTAGTGATTGTAGTCAAAGTGGAAGTTATTTTATGTTTAACATTTGTAGTACTTTTGAGTAGTTAGACATGCTATAGTGTATGCTGTAGTTTATTATCAGATTGTGCCTTGTACTATTGTTCCATTTAGCTTTCTACTATGCTGGTGTTCTGTGAACTCTGCTATTACCTTGTGACTCTAGTGTTTTATGTGTGTGTGTTACTGTTGCTTTATTTCTGCTCTTTAGTATTATTCTTGGTATACGAGTGTATATAAAAATTGAGCAGGTTGACACTCCTTATTACGGCCGGGTCATGCCCAATTTTTTATGTGCCTCATTGCCCCGCCTCAGTATGCTTTGGAGGGGGTGTTAGAACTTTGACTATTAGTGTTAAGTTAGTGCAATCACTAATCAATAAGTAGTATCTGAATGAATGCACGTTAATCTTAAATCAAAAAGTAAATTGCATTTATTAAGATCCAAGTGCACAAAGACCTCTTAAGGGTAATGTGGTCATGAACAAAAGATTAACACTCAATATGGATCTTAAAAATGACTAAGTTTATATCTGACAAGGAGTATCGAGACTAAGCTAGGAAAAATAAGAGGGGAAACCAATTTGAGCTTGAGGCTTTAGCAAATGAACCAAATTAACTTTTTAGCCAAATAGAAACACAAAGTAAAAAAAAATTTATATAAAGGCTAAATTAGAAGGTCGATTACCTTTAGCCCAATCGAATCCAATCTAGTATTAAACAAAAGATAAGGGTTGTTAAGGTCCTAAAGTAGACAGACCAACAGGTCGTGGGTTGGCCGGTGGGTTTTTAACTTTTCTATTTTAAATTTATAAACTATATTAACTTTATATTTGTATTTATCAAATAAAATTTAAATTATTTTTTTATTTTACTCTTTATATAAAATAATATATACACATACACACAGTGACACACATTGTGCAAAGGTAAAACATCACAAATACAAAGATATACGTGGTTCTGACTTCGATGGAAGACCTACGTCCACGGAAAGTTAATATCTTTCCTTTACTTTAAATTTAAATTATAACTATAATATTTAAGGAGCCGAATTCTACCAAGTTATATTTGTCAAATTCTTCAAGGAATGTTCTTGTTTGTTGTCCTTGTGTCCATTCTTATTCATCGAGCCAATCCTTTAAGCACACACACATCTCCATGTGTGCTGTTGTAAGTTATGTTCTCCATTCAAAAATAATTCTCCCGCCTGCTGAAAAGACACTTTTTGATGCGACCGTGGAAGAATGGGGAGTTAGTATATCTCTAGCCAGTGTAGATAGAACAGGGTAGCTGTGGGCTGGGTGGGTCAGTGGTGGGCCGGGTCAAGTTAGGCCGGGTCGATTTCTCTCGTCCCGGGTCTGAAGTTGGACCCAACGCGGTGGGCTGGGTCGGGCCCGGCCCACTACAGGCCGGGCCGGGTCATGACCCATGCTGAGGTGGGCTGGGCTAGCCCGCTAATCGACCTGGCCATGCCGAGGTGGCTTTGGCTAGCCCGCTGGTCGACCTGGCCCATGCACAATCCTAGATGGACCATAGCATAACTTTGTTTAATCTGAGATGCAAGTTGGTCCGTTGTACCCTGAGTAGGAACCAACACAGTAGGACTATATTGTTCTTCTACGTTTCAAATAAAAGATGTAGATACTCTTTGATGTTTAATTTTACGATCTCCTTCCCCGTGATAATGTCACCAAATCCTTAAACCAGGACGGAATAGATGACCTACTCGCAGTGGTTTGACATCTTGATTTAAAAGACTTGATTAACAAATTTTGTCTTCTAATCGTTTTCATTCTTGTTATTCTCTCCTACTTGTCTTTCTTCTCCCCTCCTCTTCATATACATTCCATACCTTTTTTTTCCCTTTTTTTTAAGTAATGTACATTCCATATCAGTTCGGGTCATCTCTGCTGGAACTAAGATGCAAGCATTGGGGGTGGGGGGATGAATAGGTTTGCACCAGCTTTTCGCTAAAACACAAAATTTGCAGGGGGAATAATATCAAAATTAAAAGAAAAAACCAACTAAACTAGTGAATATGTACGATTTTATAGTAGTTCGGATAGAAATACTATATCCACTCTTCCTTCTCACTAGTGGCCTTTCTCACTATGATCATAGTTCACCTGAATTATAACTACATTCAATAGGTTTACAAAACCTCACCCTAAAATCTCCTAAAAATTAGTTGTCTAATATAATTCCTCACAAATCAGTAAAACACCTAGCCCTAGCAGTCCCAACCCTCAATTATCACCGGCTTAAATATGTCGTACAAAAACAAGATAAAGAACAAACCAACCAATTTTTTAAGCATAAATTAAAAAGATCTTACAGCCCTTTTAAGCAAATCGTTCTTCACAAGATATAAGCGAAGGTCAACGCTGAAGCAGTGATGATGTTGAATGCAAAGGGCGACTCTCCTTGCCGAGATGATTCTTAGATGCTGAGCACAATGAGAAAGACTTTGACGATGCTCTTGGGATTGAAATCACAACTCAACTTCTCTCTCCAAACCAAGAATAAATCTCTATTTCTCAAATCATAAACCTCTCCAAAATATAATCTCTTTATATCTTATATAGCTTTTTATGAAGGAAAGAGATATAAGAATCATAGTAGAAGTTGGAGAAGAAAGGGGTCGACGAACTATTGAGATTAAATCACTAAATCTGCTAATCAGCATAGTCACCATCGATGATAAATCACAACCATCAATGCTTCTCTGCTCATAATTGATGGTTACCCTCTAGTCTATCGATGATTCGAATTCCAGCACCTCTTGCCAAAAAATCTAGCTCTTTAACTCAATTGAGTTTTGAGATATTTATAGGGGATTAAGGGGTTTAACCACCCCCTTAATTCGTTCCTAAGTGGGGTTAAAATCTTCTCAAATCATGAGTAACGGTTTTGGAACCGTTCAGCTCACGTTTGAACAGGTCAAACGCAGAGCTTGCGTCTAGAATTGGAACGCAGTGTTGGGGCCTGCGTTGGCGGCTGAGAATGCACAGGTTGCGCATTGCCTTGAATCTGGAACGCAAGCCTAATATGTCTGTGTTTTCGTCTTGGAACGCAAAGCTGACTTTTGCATTTTGAGTCTGGGACATAGAGGCGAGCTCTGTGTCTTGGATTGAAGAGATCGTTGACTTGTAATCTCTTTTGTCAGAGCGCTGCGAAGATCGTCATTTTGTAATCTTCAACCTAGCTCTTTAAAATGTGGGTATCGTTAGATTGAAACTCCTGCTGTTGATTGTGAAGGTTGTTGAATCGGAGATTTCGTTGGTTGTCATGAAGGTTGTTAGATGGTAACATTTCTCGATCTACGTGAAAATCTTCCAATTATAGCCTTCATCTGTTAACATGAAAGTCGTCTGATTGTAACTTTCATTGTTGGATTGGTGATGCGAAAATCGTCAGGTTGTAACTTCCATCATTAGTGTTATATGAGGATCAGCTATCTACAGTAATTTTTAGACAGTCTACGGTATGCGTGTGCATTTGTTGGTGAAGATGTATGTGCATGTGTGCCCATACAAACGAAGACTCGTGTGGTCATTGATGTGTCACACATCTTACCTCTTTATCCACTTACTAAATAAGGTATGAAAATCATGGACAAGGAATTAGATACATGACACTTCGAGGGACAAGCATAGACACAAAAATACATAAAAAAAAAATTGATAAAAAAAACGCATACAAAACCAGAGAATAATCCTAGGTGTTCTTTCCTTGTGCAGCCTGTATAAAAATACAACTTAGTTCGTTGCACGACCAGGTGTTTTTTTGCCAAACATTTCCGAAACTTGCTAGCACGTCATACCAACCAAGTCAAATCTCCAAAGTCTAACCCCAAAATCCCGAAGATGCCCCAATTTAAGCCCTTACTATTATCCTTTAATAGATAAATTATTTGAGGTGAAAAGGTGATTACGACAAATCAACAAATGTACGGTCGTTTTGACTCTTGTCCAACTAATTTTTCATACAAATCTCTCCTATGTAGCCTCATCGGCCTATATAATCTCATCGATCAAGTATCCATGGAAAGCAATAAAACTGGCCCTCAATTTCTTGACCAACACAGAGCCATGGCTGGTTTCTCTTGGTCTCTGTTGTTCACTGCGCTAACCATGATCGCAAACGCTAAGTATGCTGCAGGTCTAGCAAGTTTCCAGCCTACTCTTTGGTCTTTCGCCTACGCCACATTTTACGGCGATGGAACCGCATCAAATGACATGGGTCTGTCATCCGGCCACTGATCTAATTTGAATATTCGCACTCCTGATTAATTCTTTTTCGTTTAAGAGTATTACGTTATTTCTTATTATTTCAGTTATTTTGCTACATGCATGCTCTAGTTATATATGCTCTCTCTGATCTCTATTCACAGGTGGAGCTTGTGGATACGGGAACCTTTATACCAATGGCTACGGTACTGATACTGCAGCACTGAGCTCGACTTTGTTTAAAAACGGGTTTGCATGCGGAACTTGTTATCAAATCCGGTGCATCGGATCAAAGGCATGCTATCGGGGGTACCCGATAGCCACCGTGACCGCTACCAACCTCTGCCCCCCGAATTGGTCTAAGGACTCGAATAATGGTGGGTGGTGCAATCCGCCAAGGACACACTTCGACATGTCGAAGCCCGCTTTTATGAAGATTGCTTATTGGAAGGCTGGTATCGTGCCGGTCATGTATCGCCGGTATGTGAAGCTAGCTAAACCATATTTCTAATTTGTCCCTAATTAATTTAAGCTTTAAAATGATTAGCTAATTAAGATATAAAATAAATGCTTTATTGAGATAAAATATTTTGAGCTGTACATGTCTTATTATCACGTACATAAAGAGTTTGTTCTCACATCCATTCAGATCAGGTTTGTTAGGAATAGCGGTTGGAGCTAGGATGCAAGCTTAGAAGGGGAGTGAATAGAATTGCTACAACTTTTCGATTAAACTTAGATTATGCAGTGAAAATAAAATATGTTAAAAGTTAAAAGCAAACACACGAGATTTTTGTAGTGGTTCGGATCAAAAATTCTATGTTTGCTCTTCCTTCTCGCGAAGGGCCTTCTTTATTATGACTAGAGTTCACCTGAATCACAATCCGATTCATTAGGCTTTATCGATAGGATCCTGGAATCTACCTGAAACCATTCGAGATACCCAGCTCTTTACAATGACTGGAAGAAACTCAGCCCAAACTAGCCATCCTTAATTCATCAGGCTTGAGTATGCCAACCCTTAATTAGCCCTGCTTGAGTACACCATCAAACTCACAACTTTAAAAAACAAAATCAACCTAGAAACAATTAACGGATAATTAAAAAGATCTTACATCCTTTTAAATAAATCTCCAAAAAATTTGATGTTGAAGATTCGTGAAGAAGCGATGACGCAGTTGAAAGCAAATGTTACTTCTCCTCATTAAACAATCCTCAAGTTGAACAAACCTCTGGGGGTTACAATCTCAAAATAAATTCTCTCTATTAAAACCCTAGAATAGATCTATCTTATTTCTTTTTTTTTCTCTTCATTGTTTGATATGATCTCTATGTCCTCTTAAATAGGCCTTGATAAGACGGGAAAGATATTCTCAGATCAGAGTCCATATAGGAGACCAATTGGGTCAATGAAAGGTTGAGATTAAATCTAAAAATCTGCCAAAACGCGTTGTAGTCATTGATGGTTGATTACGATCATCAATGGTTGATGCTAATCATCGATGGTCGATTGTAATCCATAAATTGTGCAAACTCTGATTTCTAGAATTCAATGACTGTTTACTGTAGCCCATCGATGGTCCTCTTGATCATCAATGGTTGACTGTAGACCATTGATGGTTCAATTTTTTATTTCCGTTTCTCTGATTGTTTATTATAGTCCATCGATGAGTTGATGCAATTATGAATGGTGCCTCCTAGCCATCGATGGTTCAAGGCTGAAATCAATTGTTTGTATTGATTTTTACATCATTTTGAACCGAAACTTATTCGTACATGTTTATTCCTGAAATATATTATCTCACAAACTTATCGGTAGCAAATGAGAGTTTGTTATTAATCAAACAAAAAATATGTGCACGAGCAATGTTACTCCCCGAACATTACTCTAACAATAACATCCTGACCAATTTCAAGTTTTAAACCTCAAACTCATGGAAGGAACCGAAGGACGAGCTTTGGGTAACAACAGTTAAACATTCTTATGTGGAAGCTCATCAACTTTAAAATTTAATGCAAGTAGCATCATCAAATTTATTGTTTTTAACTGCAATTGTTTCTGATCAACATGTTGCTATTCTTTTCAGGGTAAAAACTGATAAGAATATTATTATCTGTTAAAAAATTACTCAAAAACGCAGAGAAAAATCCCAGCACTAATCGAGAATTTACAGCCAATGTGCAATATTGCTACACCCATTATCACAAGCATGACCCGTCTCTTGACCTGTTGCAGGGTTCCTTGCGTAAAAAAGAGCGGAATACGATTCACTTTCCAAGGGAATGGATACTGGCTTCTAGCGTACGTGATGAACGTAGGCGGAGGTGGGGACATCGCCGGCATGTGGGTCAGAGGAAGCAGGAGCGGGTGGATCAGGATGAGCCACAATTGGGGCGCATCGTATCAGGCCTTCGCAAGCCTCGGCGGCCAATCCCTCTCCTTCTTGATCACCTCTTACACCACCAAGCAATCAATCATCGCGTGGAATGTTGCCCCGAGTAATTGGAACGTTGGGTTGACGTATCAAGCCTCTGTGAACTTTCATTAGTATAAAGCTGCAGGAGGCGATGAGAAGCTGTACGAAAATTTTGCCTTTTTTTTTCTTCCCATCCAGTTTGTTTTTGTTGCTTACATATATATATATGTATATCTTGAAGATGTTTATTGGGGTTAATTATGCTGGTTGGAACGACCGGGTTTTGTGCTTCAGAAATGCCGTTGGGGTATATGGCTTGCTTGGGAATAGAGATCCTCTACGTCCTTAGTTGTAGAAAAACTCTACAATTCACTAATCAAATCTTCTTACTTAATGGATCCGATGAATAACATTAATCATTAAAATTATATAATAAATATTGAATTGTTAGACCCACTGAGATAAACCAATAGTATTAGCCCACATAGCTAATTTGTAGGCTTTCTCTGAACCAATATTATAGAGAATCTGAATCCGTTTTTGGGGGTTAATGCTTGCTCGAATGACCCGTTCTTTTTTGGTTTGGAGATAGAATGCCCGCATAGAGGATTACAAAGATTTGCATCCGAATAAGAAATTGGCTGCTGGGTAGATATTTGGGCTGGGCCTATCCAATAGTATTGACTTCCAACCTTCAGTCAACATGTCCTTGTCGGCTGCAAGCCTCCAAACCCTTTACCCTATGTCAATTTATTAACAAAAAATGGCTTGTTTGACATTTCTCATGCCCTAAATTTGGGATTGCTACATACAACAAATGTACTATATCTAATTTCATAAAATTATATTGACTTCATCCAAATGTTCTTGTTAAACTTCCTCCAGACCTTTTACATCGAAATTGTGCAGTTCTTGTTAATGGATCTCCCTCCAGACCTTTTAATTGTAAAAGAGGTCTTAAACAAAGAGACCTCCTATCTCCTATGTTATTTAACATATCAGTTGATGTCTTGAGCAAAATGCTTATGCAACTGTTATCTCAGTGCCATGGTATAAAACAGTGTGGGGTGGTCTCAATGTACCCAAACACTCTTTTATCAGCTGGCTAGCAATTCAAAACAGGCTCCTCACACAAGATAGGCTCCTTAAAAGAGGTATAATCAGTTCAAACCAGTGTTGTCTATGCACGGGTCAAATCTCTGAATCGCGAGATCATCTGTTCTTCGAATGTACTTTTTCTTCCTATATTTGGAACTCAATCATGGATTGGATGAATTTCAAGAAGAAGTCTTGCAATTGGAATCAGGTTTGGAACTGGTTTTCAAGCATGAGAGGGAAATCTCTACAGGTTAAGCTTAGAAGACTGGTATTAACAGCTACAATCTACTGCATTTGGAGAGAAAGAAATGCAAGGTTGTTTACCCAGAAGATAAGCACTGCTGATCATTTGATTAAGGTCATAATGTTTGAAGCCTCCACAATCATTCTCAATAACCCCACTAATAGGGTTTGACAGGTTTTTCTATTTGAGAAGGGAAACTGTATTAGTTAGTTTTTGAGTTCTCAGCTACTTATTTGCTGAGTATTCTTGAGGTGTACATAAGTTCTCAATGGTTGATGAATAAAAAGTTTTCATTTACCAAAAAAAAATGTGGATGATGGTTTATTATCTAGCCTGCACATTAAGGATCGTCCCAATCATATTAGAAGCCTACAATTTGCAGATGACACTTTAATTTTTGTGAAAAGTACCTACAAAGATATATCTGTCCTTAAGGCTATTCTATATATATTTGAAGATATCTCAGGCCTGGCCATTAACTACTCAAAGTCATCACTAATATATTTTGGTAGTCTGCAGAATAGGGGGATCCATCTAACATCAGCCCTCGATTGCAAACTTGATAAACTCTCTATCAAATATTTAGGCTTACCTTTGAAGGGTGGCAAACTATCTAAATCTGACTGGCAACCTTTACTTGATAATTTGCATAGAAAACTTGCTACTTGGAAGAGGAATTGTCTATCATTTGGAGGTAGACTTATCCTGTTAAACTCAGTCCTTTCTACAATCCCCTTGTACCATATGTCTTTCTACATGTTACCAGGTTGGTTGATTAAAGAAGTGGATAAAATCAGGAAAAATTTCCTATGGACAGGAAACAATATATCTAAACCTTTCAAATGTTTAGTCAACTGGAAGAGGGTAAGTATGAGTAAATCAGAAGAGGATTGGGAGTGAAAGATCTCAAACTTTTCAATATCTCTCTTCTATCAAAGTGGCTATGGAAATGTTTTGACAGAGTATCTTTCATAGGTGCTTTCCTTCATCAATTACAATGCCTACAACTCCATGGTTTGGAATGATATCATTTCCAATAAAGAAACTTTTCTACATTTAATATCTTGGACTCTAGGATCTGGTACAAATATCAGGTTCTGGGAGGACAAATGTGTTAGACCCTAGAGGGGGGGGGGGTGATTAGGGTCTTATGCTAATCTAATCCCAATTAATAGCAATTAAAATTATGTTGATCAATTTGTTCTTGCAAGAATAAATATGATATGAAAATGAGCAATAAAGATGAATAATATGTACGCCAACCAAAACACAAACACACGATATGTTTACGAGGTTCGGTCCCCACGACCTACGTCCCAGCTCCTCACCTCGAGGAGATATCCACTATCACAATCCGGTTTGGAAGCCGGAACTTCTACACACTCGGTTTACAAGTTCACCGAAAACTCTCACACTACACAATCACTCAACAATCACACTTTACACACTAAGTGTAGGAACCTAGCCCGTGTCCTCCTCCTCAAGTGCTCGATTACAACCTCTCCCTAGGTTCGTCAATCGACGCCACTCCTATTGGATTTGACCCCGTCTCTCTCTCCTCACACTTCTCTCGGTGTACAAGTGTGTTACAAGTGAATCTCACAAATAAAGGTTTAATACATGAGTTTGTTCTCAAATAACAAATGAGAACTCAGTGAAGCTCACACTCACTAAATCCCACACTACAACCCACAATATATAATATGAGAATATCAAGCTCAAAAAGTGTGTGTGATAATAGTGAATGAAACTCAATAAATATAACTCAATGAATATAGCTTAATCAAATGAAAGTGAAATAATAAGCTATATAGGAAAGAGTTTAGAAAACTTCTCAATGAACAAGAAGAGCTGAAGAAATGATGATTCCAATAGGGTTTGAAAGCCTCTTCTTGTTGTAGGAAAAACTTCTCTTGAAAACAGATTGATGAAACAACTCTTAAACAGCTCTTAAACGCGATTAATAACTTGTTAAACAACAAACTTGGATTTCTTGGATTATTGGAGAAGAAGAACAGCAATGGAGTATATATAGCACCCCAATACAACAGCCAGAAATAAGTAAAAGATCAAAAAGTCCATTTGAAAAACTAGCCATTAGGCTCATTCTGACAACTCGTTGGTCGACCGGTCCGGTCGACCGATTAGTTCAAAAACCTAGAGAAACGAAGAATTAAAGCTGTCGGTCGACCGACGGAAAAAGCGGTCGACCGAATTGGAAATTTCGGTCGTCCGATATAAATTCTGGTCAACCGGAGGGCTCTCTGGAAGTTTACTCAGAAATAGAACAACAGTCGGTCGACCGTACCGGTCAACCGAATTCTGATATATGGAACTATTCAGGTTTTGGGGCTAGTTTGAAAATCCAGAAAAAATATCAAATCAAGTTCAAAAATAATGAAACTTTGGGGAAAGTTTCTAAATGATAAAATAAACATGTTTGAAAAAGAATTTCTGAAAAATAAATTTTAGTTTGTGAAAACTACCTGTTTTTAAGAATGCTTAGAAAACCTGTACTTTTATGAAAATGAACTTTGATATAGGAGTTGTAAATATACATATATCTTGTGCATATAATATATGTATATAGTGAAGTATGAAAGAGCTGTAAACATGAGATAAAGATATTTTAACAATGTTTAATGAAAAATCATCTATATGATAGAAAACGTCAAAAATCGTGTTAAGTGTATATATATATTGAGCTTAGATATAATCATACTATATATGTAAGTAAACTAAACATATACCTAGGTAAATCCATGCAAATGAACTTGAATCTTTAACGCTTGATTAACGCGTGTTGAAATACCTGAAAAAATAACATAAACACAAAACACTAGAAAACTTATTAGTAATAAATTGTTTGTCAAATCATCATCAAAACTATAGGGTCAACAATCTCCCCCTTTTTGATGATGGCAAACAATTTATACATGAATATGAGATATATACTGATAATCCACATATAAGCCAAAACAAAAGTAAATCATAACAAGACCATATATATATATATATAAAAGAATCTGTAAGCTATATGTGGTATTTTCTCCCCCTTTGACAACATCAAAAAGGGAAAAATGAAAGATAGGAGCAATGCTCCCCCTGCTTATAAGCATAGATAAAAAATAAAGAATTATATGTCAAAGGCTCCCCCTGTCAAAAAGACTGAATGACATCTACTGATCATATATACAGGAGCTAAACCAACAACTATCCATCAAACATATGCAAAAATGATACGAGTAACTCAAATTCTATAAATAAAACATGATTATAGTCTTAACCATGCATTGCTCATAACATGATAAACTGGCATAAGTAAAACATCATTTTAGCATCATAGATTTGCATAAATATACAAAACCTAAACAGTGCAAAGAACTCATGACAGGCAAATAAAAACAGAGTTATCAAGTTTTTACAACCCAGAAGAAAGCATAAAAACATCACAGGAAGAGACTCAATCAGTCATCACCTCCTCCAACATCATCATTGTCACTATCACCACTACCATCATCATCACGATCACCCTCACCATCACCATCACCACCACCATCACCACCTGAGCCGCCAGCAGAATCCTCACTGGAATCAGACTCAGAATTAGAAGGGATCCCGAGAGACTGACGCTGAAATGAAAGAATAGTCCTAACATCCTTCTGAATAGATGAGACTTGCTTCTGAATACCTGAGTACTGAGTCTCAAGGCGATCCAGACGGTCACAAATATCAGAAGTGGAAGAGGTTGAGGCTCTAGAACGGGAGTGAGAAGATGATGAAGGAGTGGAGTCAAGGGCCATCTGCATTCTAGAAAGAGAGACCTTATCAAAGAAATCTCTCGTAGATTCAATCTTGGGTTCATTTGTAAGATCAACATTGAAGTGTTTGAAGATGTGGGTGAGAAAGGAGCCAAAAG